GGAAATTCTCGTATTTCCTCGGGGACCAGCAGCTACCACATACTTCTAGCGAAAACGACCAAGGTATTGTTGTTCAATAGGATTTAAGTTGCTCCAACAACTATGCTAAGGCTTCGTCCGCTGCTATGAAGAATGTCGGCTTATTTCGGCGAGTCTTTGGCCGGTTTGAATCATCACTATTCCCACGTTTGCTATCAGCGTCCATTCGACCCTACACAGAGTACGCCATCCAAGCTTGGAGTCCATGGCTTCAACGTGATTGCAAGATGTTTGAGCGTCCACAAAGGATGGTCACCAAGACGGTCAAGGGATTGCATTACCTGACATATGAGGAGAGATTGCGATCATTTGGACTATATTCTGCTCCGTACCGCCGAACTCGAGGAGACTTGATTTTGACGTATCAAATACTGCAGAACCCAAACCAGATCGCTGCTCATGTTATCGAACAATGTACACCTAAGGGGATACCGTTTCAGACTACTGATTCCCAAGTATCGACTGGATTACCGGCGCCAGTCTTTTGCTGTCAGAGTATGCAGATCTTAGAACGCCCCTCCATCCCATGTTGTTTGTGCACCCACTATTGCATCTTTCAAGCAGAGACTCGATGAAACCGTGGCACACCTTACATTCGTACACGGTAATTCACTGCAGCCTACATTCTCTATTATCTCCTACCCGGAACTCTATGCGACTCCTTTTTCAATGTGTAACGATTCATCTGTGTAAATATCCTATAGGGACAAGGGAAGCACGAGCTTGTAAGTTATTCACATAATAAAACTTTGACTTTGACTTGTTGTTCTTGTTTATTTTTCAAAATTTGATTATCCGAATATACCATCATTACTCATTGTAAGAAAACACAAAGTAGCTACTTTGTGTTTTCTTAAACTTCAATTAGTTAGTTTGTGTTCCATATTTTTCAGACACTTGACATTCTGTTGCATCTAAGTGGGCAAATCAAACAGAAAAATATTCTCAATCACTCCATGACTTGTCCGTATTCTCGCTAGAAATCCAATTAGGCAGACGTTGCTCGTATAACAGGTATATCTGATTATCTTTTCAATTTCGGTCAGTTTACGAAATCAGGTAAATTCAAATGGACGAATCTCTGAGCACATGTTATTTGAACTGAAAAAGGTGAAATTCTAATGTCACAATAATCGATTGGGATTACGGGTATTTCGTCTTAGTTGTGACGTATTCGCGTGTGTGGCGCATAGAAGAAGCTAAACAATTGAATTGATACATATTGAAGTTACTATGAATTAGGCCAGATCGGTAGTCGTAGGGTAACAGCTACACTAATCCGGTATCGTTTTTGCTTATCCGCGCAGGATTCATTTCGCGATGTATTCAATGCCTCACTCAGATTGCTATGGACAACTGAATCAGACTATAAATCACAAATTCGCAGTTGACACAGATTCACCGTCATTTCAAATGGGTTATATCCAGGGCTAGTACGGAGTCATAGGGTGAGGTTATGAGACCAAATACAGTAAGCAGCATATGTCATGTCATAAGCGGCAGTAGTGAATCGTTCAAATTGTCCACAAGGTGTGCTGTATTGTAAGGGTTATAACCGAGCGGCGGTGTATAGAAGAAAAAAACCATTGGTTCTTGTTGATTAACAAACGGATCTTTCCAATCAAACGGAGCTTTCATAACTTCTTATTCGGAAACGATATTGTTATCTGAGGTTCTCTTACCATTTATTTGCGACAAATTGTGTTTCGAATAGGTGGCGGCAGAGGTCGTCGAACTGTATAGTCCATTATCCGATTGCCACTTGGTTTGTGTGTGTGTGTGTGTGTCAAAACGCCGACACCATCGCCCAGCCTCCATAATTGACGATCAACTACCTTCTCTAGGGTGCACTTTCTTCCATCCTCTGTAATATTGACAGTAGGTTTGTCGTATGAATGAAACTTAAACGATTATCACTAATGTTTTGTTGCTATCGTGATTATTATCATCATCGTCACTTCTACCATTATTGACGGAGTAATATTACTGTTTATTCGTTGAATGTTCCAAACTAAGATCAACAATGATGATGCAGTTGAAAGAAAACAATATTTAGTATTGTTGTTATCGCTATCCTTGTCTGCCGTTGCGGAAAACAAACTGAACGGTGCATAGCACTCAGTCACGTATTGTTCTACGTGGTTTATAAGTTATAATATGCAACTCATGCGCTCGACTTCCCAGGCCACGTTCTCAGTTCACCGGAACCATTCCGCTTCACGGAGTTGTCAAATGTCAAAGATCATGTCATGTGGCCAAGCAAGCAAGCAAGCAAGCAAGCATGTTTGTTTGTATTCTCTTTATACCAGTAAGACAATATTTCGATGAATGGAATTGTAGGATTGTAGAATTGCAAATTCAACTGAAATTTAGCCCCCAAAACACCCGATCACCACCATCGATTTGGCTCAATTGCATTACACTTTCAGAACGCTACCTTACCGAACTTGAGGCGGAGTTGCTGGAGAAAAATAATGATTATCACAGTTCAAGTTTTACCGGTCGCAAGTCGGACAAACCAAGAACGATTGCGGTGAGTTCATCCGGGGCATTTGGAGTGCCTATGGACAGAGGTCTTTGTTTGTGAACACCCCCTTGTAGGTGTGTGTGTTTGAGCTATGTTTATCCCATTCAAGATTTTTTGATGCTCTTCATTCTAAAAGGCACAAATTTTACAAAAAAAAGAAAGAAGTACTTGTTTTCGTTATGAGTATAATTTGATTTGTTCAAAGTGCATCTAGCTGTCTATCAAGATTCAGACTTGAAATGGAACTGTTTTATCAACGAATCAGTTGGCGTCAAAGACAAAAATCAGAAAACCT